AAATTTTCAAAGATTAATAATTACTTAAATACATCAAGATAAGATTATATGTATCACAAATTCATCATGGTGGTTTTAGTAAAGATTACTCTATCTTACTGATTATCATAGAGGTACAAAGTACTAAATATTTGATGAAGTGATATCCACTCCACTAAAACTCAAAGAAGTATGCTTGAACTTACTTTTCAAACTTTAATATTTTTAGCCACAAATTAAAATTTAGAAGTACATTGATACAAGAATCACACATAAACAAGTTTTGACAAACTAGATTCATGAGCAAATCAATGTGTAAACCTTACATCCATTTTAAAGAACAAAAGCATTCCAATTAACAAGTACTATTACATGCTTGGATGAAGTCAAGTTTTTTAAAAAAATTCATGAGTCAAACTTATGCAAGTTCTATAATAAAGCAACCTAAACAAGTTCAAACAAATGAAATAGATAAAAAAAAATTATACATAAAAGACCCACAAATAAGCATGCGATCAAGATATTTGAATTAAGTTATGAAAGAAAAAAGTATACAAAAGTACATAACTTTGCTGACACAAAATATATTAGAATGCACACAAAAGTCTCAACTTCCATCCTAGTACCCTTCCAATGGTCATATTAGATAAAATAAAATATTTTATTTGTAGAAAAGGGAAAATCAATTAAAGAACATTGAGTCAACCACGATGATCAAATTTCTTGTAACAAATAGTAAAAATCTTAATATTTGATACACTAACAATTTTATAACTGATAATTGATTAAATATGTAATAAACATTATGTTTTATATATACAATATACATCATATAATACATTACTATAAAAAATAAATATATAATAGAAAATTAATTAAATATATAATAATTAAATTAATATTTACAAATCTTTTTAATTATATAATTAAAAAATTAATGACAAATTAAATTAAAGTAAAATTAAATTATTTTTTAAAAGTATTTATTTATATTGACAATTTACTTATAATATGATTAACAAAATTAAGTTAGTTTAGATTATTATCTATTTCCATTGTAGTTACATTAGACTTCTTTCTCTTCTTTTCTCCTAGGGAATTCTTTTGAAAGATGTTTCTTCCTCCCAGGTTAGCCATGACTATATATCAGCACACAGAAGTCTATTATAGTCATATTCTAAGGCCTTCCAAAGTCAATTCAAGTTGACTTTCCTCCTCAACCAAAGTCGATTCAAGTCGACTTCTCTTCTTCACTGAATGCAGCGCAGTCACGTAAGTGAAGTTAGCTTGAAGTCAATTCAAACCATTTTTTGTTTAGTTAGAAAATCAATTTAAATTATCTTTTTTTAAATGCTAAACAAGATATTTGTGTAATTCTTTTTAATATAAAACATTTATGTAATTTTATTTTTATTTTATTTTATTACCATAAAAAAATCCATTCTTACATTGTTTAATAATTTTTTATTGCATAATTTAATCTTAAAATAAATTATTACATTAAAAGCTTTGAGCATATATATCATACATGTAAAATTTCATATCCATTCAAAATTATTTGATATCTTATTCATATACATAACATAATATATATTTTTAAAATATATGAAAATAGGAATCCTTAGATAATATTTTTGTATATGATCAATTTTAACAAAATTTTGACACAAATAATATATAATTATAATTCAGACAGTGGTTTAATAAAAATTATTTTTTATATTAAATTATTTACAATGTAAAAATAGTATAATTTTGAAAAGTAATTTAATAAAAAAATGCTGCAATTAAAAATTTATGGCAATTTTGATCGAGGCTCAAAATACTAGAAGAATTAGACTGGAGTGTTTAATCGACGTCAAATACTGAAGAGGCACTTAGAGATTCATTTTCCTTGATTTTCTTCCTGGACCATCTTAGAGCAAGATTGTTTAAGTGATTATCGTCACCCCTATAATGACTGTCATTGAAACAAAGACTCCATTACCAAGCTAACATTCTCATCATTTGCTTGAAATGGATCGAGATACCTTCCGTTGGTTTGAAATCCTTAAAAGCATACCTTTTGCATTGATATGACATTTAATAGAATGTCCTTCGAGCACTTCTTCTTGTACCCAAAATTACACTAAAAACAACACTCTAGGAATCACAATAAAATACCTACTATGACTATTTTTGTATTTAAGTTTTTCTCCCATAGCTATACCATTTCGCTCTTCCATTAGATCAATAAAAGAAACCACACTTTAGCTGGCAAACTGGTGAATTAACTTATTTTATAATTCTCTATTAACAACTGATCAACTTAGTTCATGATTAGTAACTTCGTTGATGTAGTGTTCTTAACTTTAATTTCCTAACCAAAGAAACAAAAAAGTAGTAGTAAGAACACAAATTTTCGAAAGATTTACTGATTTAAAGTTTTGGGTGTGATTGGAGTCAATGGTATGAAATGAGAGAAAAGGGACAATAGAAGAGAGGTAGGAGCCACTAAGTTAATGAAATCCATGTCCATTCTAATTTTATTTTAATGGTAGTTGTAAGTGTCACAAAACTTAAACAAATACACGTGTCTTCATCGTTTAATTAGCCAACTTCAGTATTTTAACATAACAAAGGTTTTCGTTGTGTTTAATGAACCAACAATTAAATTAGATTATCTTGAAGTGACGATTTAATTATGTTTAAATAGTGACTATTTTATTGTTTTTAAGATTATGAAAATAATTTGTTATTTATTTTCAATTTATATAAATATAAAAATGTTGAAAATGTAAACTAATTATTAGGCTTTATATTTTCGGTCCTTATAAAAGTAGCATCCTTTATTATAAGTTTCTTAAAAAAAATTGTTAGTATTTAATTTTTGACTTTTTTTAAAATGTAAAAATTTAGTCTTTGTCATTAATTGTTCTTCTTAAGTGGTGAGTTGTATAATAGAAATCAATTCATTACTAGCACATGAAAATCTCTAACACATAACACTCTTTAGTTGGAAAACAAGATGCTTAAAGTAGAAAAAGAAGATGAGTTGAAGGAGAAACACGTGCTCAGCATATGTTCAAGTGTTTCAAGCTTAAATAGAAGGAAAAAAAGATATATGTGCTTAGCACATCACTTTCTAGTATGGAATTTGATTGAAGAAGAGGCATTCATTATCCAAGTTAGCATTTATATATAGATTGGAAGGTCTATGAAAGCTATAAAGGTTGTGCCAAAAAGCAAGAGCTTTGATAATGTACTTCAAGTCACATGTTCTTCCAAAATCTTATGTTAGTGAGGTTGGTAACAAACAGCTAGTAATAGACATGTCATTGTGATTTTCTTTAATTTTTTTTAATAGGTTAAATTTTATAGATAATTTAAATATTACATCTTGCATGTGTAGAGATGACTTTTAACATAGTAATATACCATTATAGTAAATTTGCGACTTATCTAGAGGAAAAAGTTGATGTTGTGCATAACATATATAGATATTGAAAGATAGTCATATCACAAGAAGGTGTTATTGATTGTGAAAAATTTAAAGTATAAAGGAGAGTTTTTGATGTAGTGAAAGATATCTTAATTATCGTTATAATAATTTAATAACAATAACATAAATAAACATGCTCTAGAAATAGCTAATTGCAACTTTAAAATTTTTTTGTTAAGTACACTTATATATAAAATATATAATTTCAGAAAATATACAATAAATAATATACGAGAAGAATCTATTATGACAAACAATAAATTTTTATAATTTAACAAAAGTCAAAAATTAAGTTCTAACTAATTTTTTTTAAAGATTTGTCATAGAAATATTATTTCTATAAAAACTAAAATATAATTAAGCTTATTTTTTATTAAGAAAAAATATTAACAAGTATAGGTATTTATTTGTTTTTAAGCTTTTAGGTCCCGTTTATTAAAAAAAATATAATTAACAAAAATGATCTATATCATGTCTTTAAATAACTTTGCAACTCTTTATAAAATGAAAAACACTGTTGTAAATGAAAACATAGAATATAGAAATGGTTAGTTGGTTCAAATTATAATTGAATATTCCTTAGATAAACTTTTAGATTTGAGTTATGTGTGTAAAAAATATTGCTAAAACAGTTAGCTCCGTTGTAAGAATAGATGGTCTGTATCCGGTCGATTTAACATTTCAACTGCATATAATATTTTTTTATTTTAAATTTGAAGTATAGAAGAATTAAGGGTGAGATTTTATGTACCCTATCAACTTCTATTTCTTTTCTACAATAGAGGATATTTACTACCCACAACTAAATCGTAAATGGTCTTAATTTAAGCATGACTGTTTTATACGAAAATTGTTTATCGTTTAAAATAAAGATAAAAAATGACATTTAAAAGTAAAAAAAAAAGCACTGTATTTTATATTTCAAAAAATAAATACATAAAACTTAACATAAAAAGAAGAAAATATAATAAAATTTTAAAGAAAGAAATTGATGAGCACGCGCATGCATGTCACCGTCGTGTTTGGTGATGACATTAATAGATATTCCAGAAAAATGAAAAAGCTTGTAGAGGGTGGCCTCACAGCATGCATCGGAGTTCAACATCAACCATTATTCCAACCAACCTTCATAATTGTGAATCACCGCACACTTAAACCGTTGCCTGTTTTACTTTCGTTCACTTCCTACTGTTTTAAACCGATATTAACAAGGAAATTTTCATCTATTTTTTTAATTCATGAAATTATCAATTAATAATTTCAATATGTAAAATTAAATTAAAAATTATGTCAGTAATTTTTTACATAATTTTTATAACATGATAAAGGTTGGTAATCTCTTCAATACCTCGTCACCGTTTAGGTAAAACGATAAGGTAACCTCAGGAATGCTACCAACCATTAAAAGGAATTAATTCTCACAATATATTTTAATAGGATATACGAATATACGATCTAATGATCCATCAATTGATGGCCATTACAAGAAGACAATGATTTTGAGTTGAAGCTATTTATCTGAATTATAAATAATTTTGGTGCTCCCAAATCCAACATTTTTCTGAATGTGGTAGTGAGAGCATTTGTAAAGAGAAAACCAAGACCTAGCTAGCTGCTTTGCACAATACATAGATGATACATGATTATGAAGTGGGAAATGGTAAATACCAAATTAATACAAGATAAAGGAACTATGCAATTTTTGAAAGAGGGAAATCCTTTTGAAGGGACTTGAGTGATGCAGGATTGACTTGCAAGAACAAGTAGTTGCCAGCAAAAAGATCACCAAAATGAACTTGCCCATCCTTGAACCTTTTCATCACTTTAGCACATGAAATTCTCATGGATGAGACCAACCTAGCCCTTTTCCTCCATAATCTTCTCAAGCTTGGAATTTTCAACTTGAATCTTCTCCTTATGTGAAACCTTCTGAACCTGAGCCAGCTCCTTGGCTTACTCACTCTGTCCCTTTCCTCATCAGACCCAAACTCATGTCTTAGCTTTTGGTAACGAAGCTTGCTAAGAGGAACCATTTGGAGGGTTGACATGGTGGGTTTTTCAGAATTAAAACAATTCATTAACACAAAATCACAGAAAATTATGAGAAAGATTTGCAAGTGTTTATGAATTCTAGAGAGTTTTTGGTTCTGTTATGTGAAGTGTGATATGACAGAGGCCATATTAGTTGAGGTGAATGTATAGAAGCTGTTGAGTGTATTAAATGCAACCAGAGAAGTTTGTTGAGTGTATTTATATTTTACTAAGATATAAATTTCTTCACTTCCCAATTCAATCATCTACCTGTCCAAGTTAGCAGGTTTCCCTTCTTTTTAATGACCGTGTCATCGTATCTTAGCAATCACTCATCAATAATTTAATATCGTGGCATTCCACTATTTAATCGAAATTAAATAATATCTTTTTTAATATTTATCTAAAAATATATAATATTAAAATGTTAAATATATCTGTTAGATATTTTAAATTTTGTAAAATATAAGTAATTAGTAAAAAAAAATTTAATATAAATTTTATTTCAAATATACCATCAATGTAATAATTATTGTTAGTAAAATGTTTCATAATTGAATCGCAGTACTTTTCAATTAAATTCTTTAATATAATAATTACTTTCTTTCATAATAAAAAAATAATTTTATTTCTTAATATACCCACAAACCTTCATTCCAAAGATTATAAATAAAAAAATTATGAAAAATTTAACACATTCTTTATTTTAGTTATTAATTAAAATTTATTAAAAATTATAGAATCTTTGTTTAAATTTAATAATTTTTATTCTTAATTTAATAATCATCTCTCGTACGTTTATATTTTTTTTAATAATTTTTAAGTATAACTAATAGTATAATATATTTCTAACACTCGTAAAAACTTATTACATTTGAATTAAATTCAAATAAATTTTTTCTTATATTTATTTACTTATTTTGATTTTACCACTTTTTGGTTTCTATAATCGGTTCACAATTTCATAAAGGTAAAGCTTTGTTCACTCCAGAACCAATATCTTAATATGTTAAACTATAACTATATATTTTATGAAATGAAATTGAGAAATCTACATCTTTAAAATTTTACATTTTAGTAATTTTAATAAAATAATAATTTTAAAATTTTATTAAATTATTCTAAATATTAGTTTCAATGTGGATACAAGTAGCACTTCATATTTTTAAGGAAAATTTTTAAACTTTTAAAAGTATTGAAGTTGGCAATTTCTACACATAAACTTAATGACAACATCAACACCAACATGAAGACCACTACCTAAGAGGATGACCTAAATCTCAAACCAATGCACACAACCTAATTCAGCATGGTCTTGTGAGGATGGAGCTAATGGACAAGAATTGTCTGCTTTCAAAGTTTTATTTGGATGACCAGGAGCATGCAAGAATATGTCAACTTTGGAAAGACTGTCTGGTGATCAAATTATTGGAAAAGATGATAGAATTTTTCTTGTTGAAGGAAAAGTTGAGCACTACTTGGAAACTATCTGGTGACTTCGATTTGATGGACGCCAGTCATGATTTTTACTCACAATATGACATTGGATACCAGATTTCATAGCAGCTTATGCAAAGATTGACAAGACTCTTGTCTTGATTAGAATGTCGTGCCTAAGTCTAGAATTTTACGATGAAAACATCATGTTAATGCTTGCTTCAGCAATGGGCACTCCTATCAAAGTTGACATGAAAATAGTTGATATGATACAAGAAAAGTTTGCCAGAATTTGTGTTGAGATTCATTAAGATGCCCATGGTGAGAAAATTCTGACTTTGCAGAACATGGTATAATATTAAGTACGAAGGCCTTCATTTGCATTGTTCAACATGTGGCTACTACGATCATGTAACTCAGAACTGCATTACATCATCTATAGCTGAACCAGGAAACCCTACTAATGTAAGGATGGCGAAGGGACCCATTGTTCCAACTAATGATGCACCTCAATCATTAGACTCTACAAATCATAGAACAATTACAAATAATCAACAAATTCCCTCATATATAGATTTTCAAATTCACAGGAATTGGTTGGTTGTTGAAAAAAAAAAAAGGAAAACCGAAGTCCAAGGGGGTTACAACATAAAAGGAAGAGATTTGTTTTCCTTTAACCCATTTCAGCTTTAGCAAAGGATTGTTTTGTTGAAGAGAAGTTACAAAATAATAGCTTTGTCATTGGGTCAACTAGTGGGGTCAAAGTGGACCTACCACATAAATTTGAAAAGAAACACATGAGAGGAGAGAGCAACAATTAGGACTCCCCTTTGCATGCTCATGTTAATCAGCATGTTACTCTTATCTTGAAATCAAAACAGTCCTAAGTTATGAGCCCACAACCGCATAGTGCTTCTCGACTCATTAGAATTATTGCATGAAAGATAATATATGACATTGGAGGAGGAGCACAATCTACCATGCAATTGTCTAATGTATCAGAAAACAAATATGTGTTCATGGAAAATGATGTGGATGAATTACTTTACAAAGGAAAACCACCTCATGTGAAGATGGGGCTTGTTGAGAAGGAGCCAAGGATCGATGAGGATGTAGCATTGTTGGGATTGTCACAAGATGAGTTTGACATGGAAGTTGATGGCAACAACTCATCCAATTGATACCGTGGATCTTTCTTTTATACGTGCCCATGACTAGTAGAGAATTTAACATCATTTCATGGAATATTTGTGGGCTTGTAATGCCCGTGTTCAATGATGTGTGAAGGATCTCTTGTAAACCTTTAAACATGATTTGTTTATTGTTATGCAAATGCGTTGTACTTTTAATATTACAGTGTCCTTTTGGAAGAAGCTTGGCTTTGAAGGTATGGCCATTGTGGAGGCTATTGGTCATAGTGGTATGGGTCTTGACACACCAAGATAGGTGTTTCATGATTGACATTTTGGCATCTTTCACTCAGGCCATATCCTTACAGGTCTCATGTGGCAATAGGTATTGGGTCATGACTGTAGTGTACGCTAGTCCATGATCTCATGGTTGTCTTTGACTGTCCATTCAATACCTGTGGATTATAGTGGGGGATTTTAATAAGGTCTCACAACCTTCAAAAGCTAAGGGTAGGTTGTTCTCCTTTTAGTGAGTTATGCCATTTCTTGATATGATAGACATATCCAACATAATGGATTTAGAGTACTCAGGCCACAGGTTCACTTGACACCGAAAACAATGTGGCAGGGGCATCCTTTTAAAAGGGTTGGATAGAGCAATGGGAGATCATAGGTGGTAGAATCTCTTTCCAGAAGCGTATGTGGAACATATTGCCCGTATACACTCTTATCACTCCCTTTTGATAATTAGGTGTTATAGGTCTACTCAGGGGATTCAGAATTGCCCATTTCGCTTCCAAGCGGCTTGGGCAACTTATACTGACTTTGAGAATATTGTTCGGGAAGCATAGTAGAAGAATGGGTTGAGTATTAGCAATTGTCTCAAAAGTGTTCAACTTGTTGCAACCACTTTCAATAAGGAGACTTTTGGAAGCATCTTCAAGAGAAAGTGAAGGTGAGCCTGGAGAAGTCTCACATAATGTTCTTTACAGGTGTTTCAGCTCGAGATGCTTCAGCTTTGTAGCAATCGGGGTCACAACGGGATGACACTCCCGTAGAGAAAAGGAAATATGTAGAAACGAGTTTGTAATCAGTTTAAAAAATCAACTATGAGGTGTCCCCACTAAAGTTTATTAAAGAAAACATTGAAAAAATATTTAATAAAAATAATCTTTGAAACTAGATTTGGGTTCGAGAGTTGTTTACGCGTAAGGAATTTTTTACCTTATTATCTTTCAAAAGAATTTTTGCAGAGAGAAAAATGTCTAGGATGACTATTACAAGCTATGGACCTCCCAAACCACCTAAACCAAAACAACCACAAATACCTACCAAATCAGAAAAAGGTAAAAAGGTAATGACAACCCTTCAAGCTTTACAAAAATAAGTACCAATCACTCCAAAAGAAATAATAACATTTTTTTAATAATTTTACAATATTAGGCTCTTTAGCCACTACATAACCAATAGAAACATCAAATGTTTAAAAGTTTAATTGTATCCTCATTTTACCAATAGAACCAGAATAGTTCTCTTTACCCAAATTGCAAAGAAAATCTTTCCACCAAACTGTCATTTTGTATCAACCTCATCACAAAAAATAAAATAAAATAGAATTTCATGAACTTATTTTAGTAGATACAATCTATAGAATAACCTACTAGAAAGACCCAAAAACAAGAGATAATATTTTTAAATTTTAAAATTAATAATATTTTGACAATATAGGATGGGGGACAACCCTTTTACCAATATAAAAGTTTTACAACAAAATTACCAAATAAAACAATACGTTTTGATTATATTAGTGCTTGGAAAAATATTCTCTATTTTAAATCAGTTACCCATTCGTGATATATTTAGTTTAGAAAAGGAATTTTTCTTAAATTTCCAAAATGGTTATGCTATTGGTTCCATGACTTTGGACCAATAATCTTCATACTGCCTGGAGAAGCAAAAATAGCCTTACAATACTTTATGAGCCGAACAAACTCAAGAATATTAGCTCATATCCTTCATTGAAAGCTAAGGAATTTCTTGGATCATAATATGGGAATATGATTCCACAAAATTAGCAGAACAATCATCAGTCCAACTATTAGTAAGGATAACAAAAGTTAAATGGTGGAGTAAGTTTAACTTTGAGTTCCACCATAAACAAAAAATTGATCAATGGTTACAAACAAATTTGAAGACCCTACATACAAATTTATCAAATTCTTCAAGTTTAACTAGTTCATGATTTTTAGAAAAGAAAAAAAAACCAATTATTCAGATAACAAAAGTCCAGACTTGTTGCTAGCCTTAGTACAACATGATCAGAAGAAAAGTTCAACAAATTATGCAATTGGAAGCATCTTTGTACAACCATGGATTTGTCAAACAGTAAGAAGAGGTCTCGACAACATCTTCGTACAAGAAGTGGTGGACAACTAGCATCTATTAAACAATAAAAGAAGGACAAGAAGATAAGAAAGAATCCTATTACAAGATTCAAAATCTCTATATAAGGCCAATTTTGAGATTGCAGAAGGTATTAGTGACAATAACCTAATCAAGCCTTATACTAGTTTCTACTTAATATCTTTGTATCAACTTTCAACAATGTTGTAAGCAAGATTCATTTGTACAAGATTTTATCAGTTTTTATTAATTTCGATACTTTTATCATATTTTACTATTTGCATCCAATAATACTTTGCTTATGTGAAGTTCAAAAGTAAAAATCAGAATGTTGTGCAATCTCACTAATTGGTATCAAAGCCTAACAACTTCTAATTTTAAAAGGAGGGGGAGAGGAGAATGATAGTTTAGTTTATAAGTTAAACTTAATAGAAAGAGAATTTTAAGTTAAAACTTCAGTGTAGCAGTGAGAATTGTTTATGTGTTGGTAAGCTTGAATAGTGAACTAGTAGTAAGTACTGAGAATGGAGTGAAAGTCAGCTAGAGTGGTCCTCATCACATAAGGTTTAAGAACTTAAAATGGTTAATCTACTAAGAATAATGAATAAATTAAACTTAAGGAAAAATAATCATATTGTTAAAAGAGATATGACAAAGGATAGAGTCTCAACTTCATCTATAATAGTCCGACAATACATTACAATAATTGATATCAAAATATTTTTACATAATTATTAATACTAGTTATAAAAGAAAAAAAAATTATCAACAAAGATAATTTTAGTCTTCTAATAATAACAAAAAAATTCACAAAAAATTGAGTATTCCTATTTAGGAATTCAAAAAAAAGAAAAGAAATACAACTATTAAAAAAATCATATATTACAAAAATATAAAAAAATGAATTTAATAATAATAATAATAATAATAAAAGTTACAAAACTTTAAATAATATTTTATTACAAGAGCAAGATGGATATAAAGATTTTAAGTATACAATCTTAAAATAGAGAAATAACATAATTTAAGTTTAAACTTGATAATGTTAAAAAAATATTATAAAAGACTATTTTTATGAAAATCCTAAATTTTCACTTCTTTTATGAAAATATTTTTAGAAAAATATAATTAAAAAATACTCTTAAAAGTATTAGTTTCTTAAAAATAATTTTTAAAACATGAAACCTAAACACGATAAGTTAATATTCTTAACTTAAATTTTTTTAAAAGTTTAATAAAAAAAACCACTAACTAAATATCTCTCTAATAAAATTCTCTTTCTCTTCCCCATCACAATAATAGAAAAAACAGGAAAAGAAGTCATAAACAGTTTTGTTTGTTAAATTTTTTGATGTATAATAATATTTTATATTTATATAATGTAAAAATGTCTACAAATTTAAGACACTTTTTAAAAAATATTACAGAAAAACTTTAATTTTTTTTATTAAGTTATCTTTTTAGTATAAAAAATTATCTGATACAATCATCAATTTTTTTACTATTTTCTTAATCATTCAAACAAGTTTTTATTTTCTCTCTCTCATTTTTATATATCATTATAGTTCATCTTTTATTTTATCTTATTTTTACTCTGTTTCTCTTTTTTTTTTTTCCCGTTATTTCTTCTTTTCTATTTCATTTGTCTTCTAAACGGAGAGAAAGTTCTGCCACCTTCATCTGGTGTGGATCACCAGCCGCCAAGTCATTCAACAATTTATAATCTTTTGAAAAAAATAGAAAAAACAACAGTTGAATAAGAAAATCATGATACTTAGATAACAAAAGTAATGACAGAAGGAAAAGACAAAATAAAATTCATCAAATGGATACATGTACAATCAAGTGTTGCACACAGCCATATCTAACACTAACTTTTACCATGTTAACTAGTTAAGAAAAAAAAATCAAAGAATTGTGACTGGCACCACACATGCATGAAAATAAAAAATCAATTCCCCAGTTACATTACATATATGCTTAGTAAAGCTTAATTCTGGTATTAATAGGGCTCCTGCAGATGGGGCACGACTGAAGATCTGGTCCGCATTCACAACATGTCTACCAGAACAAATAAAATAAAAGATGTCAAATAAACTCCCCATGTTTGATGTGTCCTTAACAATTATTAAAAAAATCAAGAAAAGTTCTATTTACCTGATGCCCACATCCGAAAGCCATGTCTTTTGCATTGCTCAGACAAATGGGACAAAGCTGCATAAGGCCAATTTCATTTGTCAAATGCACATTACGACAACCCTCGAAAACATATGAAACTATGCTACTATACTACAATTTGGATTCATGATAACCACCATTTTAGATTCTCAAGTTACATTCGTTAGACATATAAATGTAGCACGGAAGAGACACCCAAGTTATGCTACAGATGACATTCTAGATTAACGCGTTCTGTTTTACCATTCATATCAAGCATGTTCATTTGATTCTTGATAGTAGATAAAACAGGAAATTGATGCCTGGAAGGGGGAGACTATTAAGATAGCCAAAAATCAAAAACCTCAAAATGATCCAATCCATCTAACAACTTTATAATTCTTTTTCGTAAAAGAAGGAATAACAACAGTTATTTTGAATTAGGTAATTCATTAGACCAAGTTTGCAACTTTGTAAATCTATAATTAATTAAAATGAATTCATCTGAAGTAAAATTATTTACAAATCCTACAAAAAGTTGAAGGATTTAAAGAATCAAGAACTATTTCACACAATAATTCATTAATATATTAAATCAATTCTTTTATTTAAAGATTCCAAAAACAAGGTATGCAAGCAGACATGAAATGGTTGCCTTGACTAGTAGTATTGGAGTAACATCCTTATTACCATTTTGATAACAAAAAAAGAGAACCAGAATCTAGAATTCCAATATCTTAAATGCGGCAGCTGCTTTGCAATACCTATTAATGATGATGGTACAGCTATTGCCTGCTGTCATAATCAACATAAGATATGCAGTATGCTGAGCTACTAACATACTGGTTAACCTAGCACTACCCCACATCTTGTCCATTTTCTTTTATTAGCAATGACTCACTAAAAGGAATTCCATAGTAAATAATGTGGATATCTTATACGTTAGTGAGCAATCGAAGTTCTAAAATCTTAACTAGGGCATCTAAAATTTACAAACAAAAGCTAAATTGAATGAAGACATGAAATAAGAAACAAATATATATATTCACACAATTTCTAGCAATTCATAAGTACCTTCCTCAAAGATACTGCTCCAAAAAAGACCTAATTATGAAAATAACATTATTCTTTTAGACAAATTCGTACTTGATAATCATAAGCGGAACTTGGGGCAGAAGAAGCTGTGCCAACTGTGTGGCTGTCGCCATACTGAGGAAGGAAACTGGGCTCAAACGTTGCAGCATGAGAAGGCTCTGAAGTGTTCAGAGATGCCGAACTACAAGTGGGCGGTGGTAGAGCAACCCTTTGAGGAGCATTGGCCTGCCGATTACTGAAGAAGAGTTAAAAGCATTAGTTATCACAAATATTTACTCAGAAAATGAACACATGGAATTAAAATAAATAGTATCTGTTCTACAACAACAACAACCAAGTTTCATCCCACTAGATGAGGTGAGTTACAAGGATCAAAAGACGTCATTGTGCCCGCCAAAACCAAATTCTCTGAGATAAAAACACATAGGAACAGTGAGGAACCAAAATACTTACCCCAGTAGATTAAGCTCTATTGCTGCCTTATACTGAGAAGGAATTTCCATCAATGATGCAAGTGCAAAGGCTGCCTCTTTTCGTGAAGGAGGGATGTTCTTTGACATAATGTCCATGAAATTAACAAACTAAAACAGGAGGAGGAGGATCAACTATGATTCATTGGATCAATTTCCACTAGTGAAAACATTTTAACAAGTATGTTGAATGTTCTATGCCATTACTTACCTGAAAATTATCAAAGGCCCGAGCTGGGATATTGTCATCAAATTCCTTCATCATGTCCCATGGTCCATCTCCAACACCAACCAATATGATTGAAAGAGGTAATTTACTGTGGGAAAGCAGGTATATAAGACATGAAGTTTCAAAGAAAGGAAACATTCTCAAGCAAAAACATCAGAATCACCTAGCTGCAACAATAGCATCCACAGTCTTCTGTTCCTGTGGACTTAGTTTCCCATGTCCAGTGTCAACACTTCTTGTTACCTGTATCAAACATTTGTGGATGAGTTTACTGTTTACACTTCACAGCAAAACATTTACTGCAAGAAAGACCCACTTTTTCACATGGCAACTATGACCATATATGAATTTACAGCATGACAAGAGTTTTCCATGTTCACGAACAAGTCACCGCAATACTATATTCTCAACCTAAGTCACAAAACTCATATTTAAGCATAGCTATCCCAATATATTTTAGCTGTCCAATAGGTGGTGGATATTAGAAATGGACTACGTTTGGCCATAATATTCACCAAGGAACTATCATTCCTATTAGCAGGCCCATTGAATTTGCTAACAAATTTCCAATATTGAAATAGTTCTTCATTCATTTGAATCATTTGAATGGGTCTAGCTTTGATAGGAATTTGGCTTTCTTTGAAGTCTTTCGTTTAACTCAATCTCAAAAATTAACTCAGAGGAAGGATATTGGCTATTGTCCAAATCTTATATGGTTCAATCATCCTCTTATGCTTGCATTGTTCCAAACGCACACGAAGTCCAGCAAGAAGTTCTTAGTCGATATAAGATATCTTCAACACTAGAAACAATGCAAGCCGCACAGGACCTGCTTATGCTTTATTCTGTGCTTGATTTTTTATCTGCAAAATCATTTATTTAGAAGAAGAAAATAAGAGATTAAATGTATTTTAACTTTTATTATCATATACTCATCATAGATTCATTAAGTTTGAGTGTATATAATTATATTATTTTGTGCATGTTTGGGTTAGTAGCGAAGAAATTAGAAAACATTATTCAAAAATTAATTATATCTATATTCATTTATAAAAATAAGTTATTTTAGACATGTTAAGTTAAAAAAAATCTTAGGATAATCTATTTCGATTTGATTGTCTGAAAAGAACATGTTTGGTGGTGATATTATATATATAAAAGATATTAAAAATTAATTTTGTATTTAAAATAATTAATAGTTGAATAAAATTTAAATAAAAAAATAATCTCATATAGCTTTAAATCATAAATTTCAAATTTTTATTTATGATTAAAAAAAATACCGCTTTGACTATTTTACCAAACTTACTAAATTTTAAGAAGAAAAAAAAGTTCTCCCTAAGAAGCTCCTTCGCCCCAGTCCTTAGTTTAGTACTCCACAAGCAGTCCTAGTTTTCCAAAATATGCAGTTTAATGGAAATCGTGCCTTAAGTGGAAAAATGAAGTAACACGAATTCAGGTGAAAGAAGGACTCTTTACGCAATAACTTATCCCTAAAGAACGAAGGTGAAAGCACAATCAAGTCTATCTAGCAAACTATATTACTTATTTCCCTATCAAAATCCAACAAATTATGAGAATAAAATTGATAGAGGACAAGTCTAAGGGCAAAAGGAAAATCAGTCACCAATTGTTTTCTCAAAATTTCATTTGATATATATGGATATACCTGGCCATCTGCGATTATCACCAAAACATGGTACTGGCTTCCACTCTGCTCAACAATTGTCATGGCCATTTCAATTATTGGCGCAAATGAAGTAGGACCTGAAATCAAACTAATAAGCACCATTAACTCAATATTAGAATATCTATAACAGGATTAACCAAATATCCTTAGGAACAAGAATATTAGTTAAAATATAACCTGCAAGTCGAAGATGAGGAACAATTTCCCTATAACGGCTTAACACGTTTTCAAATCCATTGCAAAATCTTTCATCCGGATAGAAACTGAAGACATCTTGATCGTGCGTTGATGCTGCCATATATCATAGTATTTCTTATAACAATCTCTTAACTTCAAAACAATGGATTCCATAAATGTTAAATTGTGTCTAGTTTAAGAGATACCATCTCCAAATCCAAAACAGGGAATCATATTATCCTCATCGAATGCAGCCAAGGTTTTCCCAATAATTGATATTGCTTGCTCGTAGGGATTCAGACCACTCCCAATGTGATGCAAGCTTCGTCTATTAAATGAATTCTTGCCTAAAAAATTAACACCAAGTTCAACATATTACACTAGAACGCACTCCATAAAATCCAACTTTATTAAATATATAAAATGCCTAACCAGTCCACTCATTACTCTTGGTGAAATCTACACCAACAATAAGATTCGAAGACTCAAGCCCTGCACGTGCAAGAGCCTCACTAACCTGTAATCGAATATTAGGTTATAATAATTGCAATAATACAAGGATAAATAAGAGCACTATTAATGATAAAGGAATTTAAAGACAATACCAAGTTATCAACACTACCCTAAGTAATTCCAAATCACATCAAACTGCACTATGAAGTAAATATCTATATGTATATTCTAAACTCATTCAAATAACTACAGATGCAGAGTGAATTATATTTAGCTTTCTTCAACGAGCACATATCAAAGCAAGACCAACAAGCTGCCATTTACAGTTTGCAATGAAATCTAGTTCATAATTAAGAAAAAAGATAAAATTTAGGTGCAGTACCATAGGTGGTTTTAATGCTGTTCTCCCATTAAAATTAGAGATTCACCATAATAACCCATTCGACGTCTAAGGTCAATGCATATTTCTGACGTGAAACTCCAATTTTAACCGCAGTACAGCAACAAGATTATTGTACCTAAGTTTTATCTTCAAAACAACTATCCTTTTTAAGTGCTATGAAAAATAAAACACTCTCACTAAAATTACTTGACCTCGTCAATGGAATTGTAATTATCAACAATTCTGGAGTATCTTCTCTGTAGCTTGGTACTATCATCTCTGACTACATTCTCACTAGCATAAGCTTCATAGCCATAAGAAGAATAAGACGATTGTGGATCATCATAATCATAACCCCATTGGGGATCCAAATATGCACTCCATGAAGAAGCAGAGCGCACAGAAGAACTCTGTCTCCAACTATCCTCCTTAGAACTTCGCCCACCCATCAACACCACACTTCTCTGCAAAATCAGACACGATGATGAAAATGAACACGTAAACCAATTCCAAATTCTATATATAAAACGACACAAATGTATCGTCGTCGAGGTTGTAGTTTCCAACTTCCAAGTAACTTCTCAATCTGTTCAGTGCAACAAGCAAAGAGCAGAGAGGCTTGATGCCCACGAAAATAAAACGACTCGTTCTTACAACATACACCAACGCAAGTAACACAATGTCGTTAAGTCACCGCAGTCCGAAACACCAGTCATTGTTGATGGCTTCAAACACAAGCAACCAAGTTTCTTTTGACAAAACGACATTCTGCATAAGCAAGGAGGGGGGGGGGTAGATAAAATGTAGAATCAGAGAAAAACTACCTAGGAAAAATAAAAAAGAACACTTCGATTCTGCATCAGAATCAACAGATTAACCAACCAACAAAAGCAAAGACAATGAAACGGCGTTGCGTTTGAGTAATGAACGACTCGCGTTTTGCCGAAGAAAGTAAAAAGGAGCGGTAGTGACTGAAAGAGAATGGAGAAGCTAATTTCTGAATCTTGAAGATTCCTTGAGGATGATGGTGATCGTGATAAGGAGTGAAACATGATATGGTGGTGTCGTTGGAACGTTCTGCGTTGGTGCGTGAAGTTACAGTGGAGGAGACAGAGAATCTTCAATGGTGTATACGCCAATGCTCAATAATTGAAGATTCGAATAACAAGCTTTTTGAAAACTCGGAAAGGTGCAAGCATCAACGTAAATATAAAAAGCTCTATTCTTTCTCTCCTTTTTTTAAGGCTTTGTGCAGTGATGATGAGGAAAAAGCAAGAACATGGAAGTTTCGCGTTTCGTATTGGAACTCGAATTTTTAAACGGCCATGGTTTGGCGCAGACTGTTACTTGCAGTAGTTCGGCACCGAACGTTACATGAACAATTTTGTCCTCGTACTCACGAAAATGTTTTTTTTTTCATTAAGTTTTTGTTAACGTATACGTTATCACATTTCTTGATGAATTAGAAATAACTAAATAAAGCTTTTCCAAAAACAATTTTAAATAAAGAATAAAATATTCAAAATATATCCAGCTTAAATAAACTTTATTCATGTAATACTATATCTTTTTAAAATGAAACTAATTTAAGGTAGTCTAATTACTTGAAGTAGTTTTTAATATAATTAAATTTAAAATTATCAAGATTGAGACTTGATTAAGAATAATTATTCTCTATTATTTATAACAAATTAAAGGTTATGAGTGCCCAAGGTACAGACAAATGTTAAGATTCTATTGATTATTTGATTTCATCTCTCGAATATATATATATATATATATATATATATATATATATATATATTTTTTTTTTTTTTAAATCAACTTGCAAGTTGTTTAATGATTATTCTAATAAGAATATAGGAATTTATCCATATTTTGGCAAAGTTGGGGACTAGCTTGGTCCTTCTAGAGCTAAAGCTTTTATGTGAAAATTTCTTTATGATAAGCTATTAACTAAAATGAAAATAAAAGAAATAAAAGTCACACTTCAAATGATTCTTGTTCAAGATGTAATTATTCTTGGAATCTATCATGCAGAGACTTGGATTATGAGATGGATAGCAATTTTTGGAATCACAAAAGCATTGGAGCTCGTTCTTTTGCTTGGGCATAACTCAATGAGTTGGCAACAACTTGAAGTCCTACAAGCAAAAGGATATTGATAAATGGTGCATCACCTTTTTTTAGTTACTTAAATATATTTATGAAAGGACGTTGCAAGTTAATTTTTCAAGGAAGAACCATATCAAATATGATTTTGTGATTAATTTAAGTAGTTTTGTGGACCTAATTTAAAATTCTCTCACAAGGAATTGGATTGTTAATCTTTTTCAAATGAAGTGAGAAAATTTTTGTGGGTAAAAACAAAATAAACACATATGGGTCTGTCACGTCTGCGCAGAAATATGTAAAATGACAAGGAAACCGAAGTGGGAGCGTCATTAAATAGAAAGGTGGTAGCTAATCTGTTAATAGTGAGCGTGTAAAGGAGTGAGATAACTAAAATAACGGATTCATGTTGGAAGTAATATCTGTGAGGTGCATGATTTTATATATTTCGGTTAGTTAGAAGAGGGAAATAGATGCACAACTCATTTGATTTACCCTGCATACAGGAAAATATAGAGATAGCTCTATATAACATTGACATTTGCTCATTTATTCAAGCCACACTTTAGAGTATTTGGTTTGGAATCAAAATGACCAAAGCCATTAAAGCTAGAAATTTCATTATAGAAGTTTATCCACTTTACCTTAGACTTTGTTAAGAAATTCTACCCTACTCAACACCATAATTCAACTCTTATAAAAAACATTCAAGAATTGTTGAATAAAGACACCACAATAGATGCAAACTAGGAAATGACACAATGTCTTTCATGAAGATTTGAGGCCATGAAACATTAAGTTTTAAATAAAGTCAGACCCAAATTTGATTAGTGTAACATTGTGGGATACTCAAAGGAAACTAAAGGTTATTATCCCTATAATTTAATCAAAGGAAAAGTATTTGTAACTAGGAATACTGTATCTTTAGAGAGAGTTTTTATCTTTAAGAAAACTAGTGGAAGAAAGATAGAACTTAAAACAAAATTTAAAAATAACATTTGAGTAATGAACGTGCCATGGAATTAGAGTAGATGCTATAAAGTGTCTGTGAATCATTCACAAAATGTTATGGAGTTATCAACTCAACTAGCACAAAACTTGTATAGGACAAAAAGGATATGTCACCAATTTGAGAGATATGTCTTATACCTTAGCAAAAGGATGTATAATTAATGTATCCATATGAATCAATGGCTTGCCAATAAGCTATTTTGAGTTCATAATTAGAGAAATGACTTGCCAAAAGATGTATAAAAGGGGGAAAAAAAAACTCATTAGAATGCAAATAAGTTTTTAAGAAAATTGAGAAGTGGCTTAGAATAAAAAAATCTAAAATATAGTCATATATACAATAATGAATATAGATTTAATTGACCCGTCTAAGAGGGTAAAACCCATTGGATGCAAGTGATTTTTTTAATAACATAAATGATAATTTAAGTTAATTTAACGCATGATTAATGATTAAATATTTAAATTTGTAGTATAAACTATGCGATGATACTTTTTTCCTCAATTGCAAAGCTTACATATATTCAAAATTTTTGGTTGATTAAGTCTTTGATTTTTTTATTCTTCTCCAAATTAACTTGTTTCATATTTTTTAAGTCTTTATTTGAAGATTGAGCCAATCTCACACGGTTTTAGTTAGGAGAAAAACCTTATAAAATATTTATTCAATTAGTTATAAAGAAAAATTAATTTAATTTTTTGACTTATTGTCTAAGAATCTTATAATTCTTATTTATTTATTTACTAATTTATTTTTCTAAGATTTAAATCATGAATTTCAGTCCTATATGTACATAATTACTTAGCATACATGTAGGATTTAGACACAACCTCATTTAATATAGTAAAGGAAATAATAACAGCACAAAAATAAAACAACAGAAATTAAAACAGCTCAATCAGAAACAAGTGCGAAATTATTTTTAAAAAAAATTTAGAGATAATAATATATGTTAATAGATTGGAAAAAAAGTAAATACAGAGATTAAAAGCCAATAAATAAGAATTTCATAATAGTAACGGTTGAAAAACATAAATTTACATTCATAAAAGAAATGTAAATATTAGTGGTCAAAACTATTAATTACAATTATTACGTGTTAGATGGGTCAAAAAGAAAGAGAAAAAAACATGTGTTATGAGAAGTTACACAGACAAAAAAATAACCACGGAAAATTGGAGTTTTACGTATGACCACGAAAAAAAAATAGAAGTCGTATGAGAGAAAAAAAATAGCTCTGTTTTAAAAAAAAGATGAAAAATAACAACGAAGAAAAGTCATATTGATTGATTAGTTTGCATGATATATGTATTGAGATCCTAGTATTGTCGTAATTTCTTTTCTTGTTACTATAGTTGAATACCCGTTAATGGTTTATTGTGTTGTTATCCACTTTACCGGTAAAGTTTGTATTTTGTGTTGATCTCTGATAGTTGAAGAGAATCTGCGGTGTATCCATTAAATTTATTGGAGAATTTTGTTGGACTAGGTCACGTGGATTTTTACTTTTTATTCAGAGTTTTCTCACGTTAATAATTTTGGTCTCTTGTTTACTTTCTTTATTCTATATTTATTATCACTTGAAAACTATCTAGAGCCAATTTTAATTGTACATATATTCAGTTTGCTTCTGCATATTACTATTAATATCTTTCTCAACATTATAAGATAAATACTTTTAGATAAATATTAATGTCATTATAATATAAAAATAATTAGAAGTAACTGTAAATAAAACTCTCCCCTTCAAAATATTATTTAAAATAATTAAAGTAAACAATTAGCAGAATAAGTTACAGTAAACCAATTTCTATTATTGTGAACCATTTAGGGGCAAGTGAAATGTGTTCTTAAGGGTTCAATCCACGGTATATTTCTTGGAGTCATTTATTTTCTTGAGATATAAATAAAACTCCAAATATAAATTTTTTATTAACAAACAATAGTTTTAATTCAAATTATTGTTATTTTAAAGCTACTTTCATGAATTCTTCTTTTAGTTTGAGCAAAACAATACTTTTAGACCAAATGTTGCTGGTTTTTATTGACACAAAAAATCTTGACTCTCAAACAAGTTTTTGTAGTTCATGTTGTCTTAGTTATAATATCTTATTTCATTCTTTGGCTTATAATAATAATATAAATTTAATGAAATATATTTTTAATTATTCATGCTATTTTCCTTTTCCTTCAGTATTGAAGGAATACGATGGAAATAAAAATATGAACTTCTATAAAATTTTGAAGTTATTATTTTATCTTTACACCTTTCATTACTATATGTATTATCTTTAAATTATATGCGTAGGTGTTGCACATTATTCTTGTTATGTCTAATTTATTAAACATATTTCCTTAGTATAAAATCGTACAATAAATAAATATTTATGTAATAATTAAATTAAACATTTAAATAAAAATAGGAATAAAAATAATAAATTAAATAAAAAAAATGTCCACACACTAATGCTATATCAATAGATGAGCGTTTGATTTTGTACATTTGAAACATGATTGATGGATAATGAAAAATTTATTTTTCTTGTACTTGAAGTTTTGAAGGATTTTTACAATCAAGCTTTGTTTTTTGAAAAATAGTATTTGTTTTCTTTAACTCTTTAAAAAGAATTCTCAATAGATATAATTTCTTAAAAAAACATATTCAAAATTTTCATAAACTAAATTTTTTTTAAAGAAAAATGTAACATGATATTCTTCTTATAAATTTTATGAAAATGATATTTTTTTTAAATAATTTATAATTTGTGTTTATTTTTAGGTTACTTTTAATAATTTAAAATTGGCTTTCATATTTTAATTTTATTTATATTGATAATATATAAATAAAATATATAAATTTAAATATCAAAATAGTTAGATCAAGTTAAATATGCACAAAATGTAGTGTCGTATTATTTTTTTAGATTTTTTTTTTGTATTACGACCTTAGCTGGTGTGACAAAAATAGCTTGTTGTATTTTAATAGATAATATTGTTTATTTTTATTCTTATGGAATATTTTAATTTAATTTGTATATTTAATTATTTTTACTCAGTAATAATTATTTGAGAAGTTATAATATAATAAAGTATAAAAATTTAATTAAAACATGTGTTTTTAAATTAAGGATATTATAAAAGTAAACAAATTATAAATCATTTCACTGTACTTATTACTTATTGTCAAAATAATAGAAAATGTTTTGTTCCATTTCATCGTAATATATCTAAACAATGAATATGCCCTATGATGTTGAGGCATTGAACAAAAGATATTCTGGTCTTAAAAAAATTTATGAAATGCAGATATTTACGTTAAATAGCAAAATTTAAGGATGTGAAATAAAGAAATAAAAGTAGTGCTTGAGATGTGAAAGAAAACAAAAACAAAATTATTAAAAAAGTATTTATTACACTTAAAATTTTTAATGTATTGCATATTCTAATATAATTTTATCATTACTAATTTTTAAAATCAACCGTAAAGCTAGTGTTAATAAAATTGATAAAAAAAAATAAAAAATACAGTGATAAGTCATTTCTTGTGTTTTTAAAATCAAAATCATGACCGGAGCATGTAAAAGTGTTGGTATATGATTCAATAAACCAAAGTCAAATTAATAATAATTAAATATATGATTTTAATATTATATAATATATTAACTAATATAAAATAAAAGAATGAGTTAAGCAAGTTTCAAATTCACATAAAAAAATAGTATATCTTCAAAAATATAAAAATTTTATAATAAATAATTATATAACAACAATTCAAATATATATACATCAAGAGAATTATAATTTATTAATATCAGATATCAAATTTTAACACTCACATTATTTAATAACATTTCATAAAATATGAAATTCATAAATTCAACCAATAATTAAAGAATGTTATTAAATACATTAACTTTATAAACTTTTATAAAAAATAAAATTAATAAAAAATTTATACATTATTTTATTTTAATAAATAATATTATTTTAAATTATAAAAAATATTAAATTTTAAATAATATACTTATAAATATTTAAATTATATGAATACAACAATCATAAAGATAATATTACAGTTGTATTTATTAATTTCATATTTTATAAAAATTTAATAATTGATATAAATATTTAAATTTATTTTTAATATTAACAAATATATATATCTATATATTAATATAAATTATTATTTTTAAAATTTGTTAAAATAATCTCTAAACTAAGGAAAACATTTATCTTTTAATATATATAATCATAATCGTTTTAATTTTTATTATTTCTAAAATTAATCAGTTCTCAGTGTGTCATTCTTGTAGACAATAAAATATACTTGATAAAACTAATATGTTAATGATTAAAATAGAATATATATATATATATATATATATATATATATATATAAGTGTAAAATGAAAAATTGAATAACGAATAGCTTCTAACTAACTAATTGTATTATTATAAGAGAAATAAAATATTTTAAAATGAATGATAATTTTTTTAAAATTATATTTTAGCAAAAAATTTAGTTAAAATAATTAATTATTGTATATATCAAAGATTAAATAATTAATAATTATATTGGTGAGTTAATTGACATCTTGCTTGATTAAAAGACTGTTTTAATAAATTTTAAAAATAATAAGGCCAGAAATGATAGATTATTGTGTATAGCTGTTAAAGAAAAAGTAAGAAAACGACTGCGTTTAATGGTAGTATTAAACGGAAAGCAGGTGACTGTGGGAGAGGGTTTGGAAAGTGGTGTGGTGCGGTGTTGAGCATGGCGAAGAGCGAAGATAATGGGAAGAAGGAAGGGAGCAACTTGCTTGGTTCCCCAACCTTTAAAGAGTTAGGAAACGGGCGTTTCAAGTGCGTAGAAACTGGGCACGAAGTCCTCTCCAAAGACATTGAGTCCTACTCTCACAGCAAAAAGTGCCGTTTGGGTCTCATCGATTTTTCTTTGTCCAACAACAAACCCCCTCTCAACATGTTCAAACAAGACCCTCTCTCCCGGTAATCTTTTCCTTTTCCCTTTTTAACCCTGTTCCCAATTCCTTTACAACTTCTAAGTACAACGGGTTATGTGTTATTATGTGCAATTTCCCCTGTTATACATGTTTGTACTTTTCTTTTGACTATCTCCATAGGTATGTACTATGTTGTAATTAGTTACTTCTTGCACTTTTTTCAGTTCAAAGTTGATATGTAAGCTAACCGGAGACAATGTCAATAAGTCTGAAGAGCATATCTGGAAGCATATGAGTGGGAAAAGATTTCTCAATAAATTAGGTCAGTGGTGTGTTGTATTTCCCCATTTTTTGGATTTTTTGATCAGTGAATGTATATGAATTTTTTGATGTTTCATTTACTGATGCATTTTGGCTTCCATAAACAGAGCGAGAAGAAGAAGAGAAGCTGTCATGTCATGGAATGGAAGGTCAGGAAAGCTTGCAGGAGCCGAAAAGTGCAGATGATGGGAAAAAGGATAGAATAAAGAAGAAGAAGAAAAAGAATAAGGACAAGGCAGTTGAAGAGATTATTTCTGAAGTTAGGAAGTCTTCTAATGAGGACAGTCACAGTGATACAGAAGAGGAAGATTTCTGGATGCCTCCTGTTGGTGATCGTTGGGACCATGATGATGGAGGGGATCGATGGGGTCCAGATTCAGAGTCAGAGCAGGAAACTGAAGAGGGAGATGTAATTGGTATGTAAACTCCTCATGCTTGTTTAATTTAATATCAGATTGACTTAGAAAATTAGTAACTTAGGGTCTGTTTGTTTTAAGTTAGATAGAATTGACTTGATAGATCATAGACCTAATTTTGAACCCTTGAGTGTATTGGTCTCTCATATGGTTCATTATTCTATGTGTATGAGAAAAATTAATTGAGTAGATTATGTTTTTCTCACAGATGGTGCTGCTGATGAGGATTGCAAGATGTCAGAAGAGTTGTCATCGAGGTATTTTGCTTCAGTATGAAATACTTGAAATGCAATGGTTTCTGAATTATTTTAGGTAAAGTTAGTAGTAATGTAGACTCAACATATTGACATAAATATATATTGAATTTTCTTTTCCCCATATTATGCAGGACGAAAAGAATGTCAATAGAAATTGGACCAAGCAGCTTTGCCACAAGAAAGAAGAAAAGTAAGAAGAACCACCAATCTTAGTATTTGTTGGTCAGTCGAGTTTAGTTAAGAGAACTGCAAGACAACTTTTGCAGCCATTGTATGATTTAAGGTATGTCAGCCCGGTCATTTGCATTGTGATGCAGAGTGGATATGGGTACAAAATACATCTTCATCTTGATTGTTCTTTTATTGAGAAGCCATTTTTGGGTTAATTTGTATGGCAAGCATCATAAAAGTGGATTAAATTATTAGTCTTCAAGATAAACATGCAGTCATAACCATGTTTTTTATATTATTTAAGGTTCATGGTTCTTTATGATCATTGCTCAAGTGCTCAACCCATTCTTTACATATTTTGGGGTCCAAGAATCCTTTGAAGGGACAAAGTAAGGGTGTAGCAACCCTTCATTAATTTTAAGTCATAATGATTTTAATCTACCAAAATTCATTGATGAATGCACCTTTATTTTTTCACTATAGAGGAGCCTTTTCCTATATCTTAATGGTGATTTTATTAGTGTTTTCAATTAAGCAGTTTTTTTTATGATTTCACTCTTCACTACACCTTAAAAAGCCTTTAATAGAAGTTAAAAATCCCCTAAGATAGTGGTATTACCATTATCTATTGGGATGCTATTAAAAAGGGCCTCTAAATTAGCGTTTTCACAATTCTATCATTAGGTGGGTTTAGATAGCAGTTCTTGTAAGAACCACTATTGCAGGGGCAACCTTAGATAGCAGTTCTAACTTCTAAGGTGCACCTTACAATAGGCTCTCTTAGGAACCAGTTTATATTGTTTTTTATAAGCAATGCTTCCAACCTGCTTGATTTCAGATTATTCCACCTTTTCTTCATTAGAACAAAATCATCGTTAAACAAAAATGAACCACAACCATCATCGCTAGATAACAAATCATGACAAGATAAAATAACAGGAATGGAGGAATGTGTCAAGATAACAGAAAAACATGTAACACCCAACATTTATACAGTTCTGTAAACAAATTCCAAAGAAATTTGAAATTATGGATGGAATGCCACTATCTGTACAAGTCTAATTTGTTTATGCTTTAGAGGTCTTAAGTGATTTACAGTGAGAAGATTGGGAAGCCTGTTGTGTATGCTAGTTATACAAAAGCTGCTGTTGGCATTGCAATTACGAATATACCTAATGAACTGGTCCATTTGAATGTCTAATCAAATGAGGATAGTGTGTCATATCTAATGTACTCCTTCAAAGAAATCGTGTAGCAGCAAATGTGTTGCATAATTCAGATTTGGATGGCCTTTTCACTGTGCCAACACCACCGAGTCACCATATCTATCGAATCTGCCATTTCCGCCAGACTGCTGCTATCTCCTTAGAGCCAAGCAACCTTTACGTGGAGCCACAATTGGAGAGAGAGAGAGAGAGAGAGACGAGGTTGCTTGTAATAAGAGGTTAAAATTTGGGTGCCATATCTATCTAATACCCTTGATGCTGTTCTCTAATTAAGATTGGAGTTTTATTTCAAAAATGTCTATTGACCTTTATTGTGTGGATTATTAAGGTGAAACTCTAATTTTAATTGGATAACAGCAAAAACACCTGTGGTATTGCTCCAAAGTTTTATTGAGTGCCTTTGAGAGTTGTATGGATGGATATAAATCAATTTGTAACCATTGATCTAATAAAAATGGAAGGTTGGGATTTAATTTTGTTTAGTGACAAATTAGTCTTTTTTTACTTAACCTACAATAATGGTTCTAAATAGAGCCTTTAATAGAAAGAATACGTAAAACTGCAATCATAGGTTGCCTAAGCAATTCTAGATAGAACGCTGTTAAAAGGCCAAAGCTTTTAATATCACTTCTATTTAAAATCAATGTTAGACCTCCATATCATTAAGTCAACAACTTTTCTGGAGACAGAATAAATAAAATTTGCATGAATTAATATGCTTTTGATTTTTTTAATTTGTACAAAATTGCATGATAAAAAGTTAAGTATTAAAATTGTAGTATTTAATAGTATTAGGACGTTAAATTGGTTTTCTTATTGATATTTTCACCCAATTTGACGAGTAACGTGTCACATTATAACCCTACAACTGCTATTTTGTTTCAACAAATTTTGGCATAATTACTTAAGGGAGGACCGACAATATGAAGCATATCTTGTATAGAAAGCAGTCCATGAGGCGTGTAATTTGCCAGATCCTCAAATCAGGATAACCCTCAACACATTAAATAGCAATTTGTTGTGGCCTTCAAAATATCAGCACAGCAAAAAGATAATTGAGAAACGCAGAATATTCAATTAAAGATTCGCTTAAGTGTTCATGGGTACCAACGTACCCGCAAAAAGGAAATTGTTCTTAAACACAAAGCATTAAAAACTAAAATTAGACACAAATCTATTAAAAAATGAAATTAAACATAAAATAGAGCAATGGAAAACAGAAAAGTGGTGACCTAAAAAGAGGATATTAGTGTCCTCGTCTGCCTCTTCTTCCTTAGCAGTAGCTGGGTCAATTTCAACAATCGTAAGCTACAGCAGCTCATTACAATATGCTCTCTCATGATTATTGTCATGCACTTGTAGGTCTTGAGCAATTTTGTCTACTTTGGCTTCTAAGCGAATCATGCCTTTCATCAATAACTGCGCTTGCCTGGAAGTGGTCTTTTGTAGTTGAGTGATAGTTCTGAGCACCATATATAATTTATTGTTTGTTAGTCAAGTTGGAGGAAGAGGATGGGGTGGTGTTGCAGTTGTTGCAAGTGGCCTGCTAGGTCTTTTATGCACATTTTTAGCAAAGGCATCGATTACAGCAGCGGTTATCCATTTTGGTTTATGCACAGGTATATCATTTGGATTAATTGGGACATTACCCTCTTGGCAGAGAAGGGTGATGAGGGAGGAGTAAGTCAAGGATTGCTGATTTTCATTATCTATAATCGAGATCCTGATAAATAACTTTATAGACGTTGATGTCCATACTCATAACAATGCAGTAGATGAGTTGAGCTCTCCTTAAAAGGAAGGTGGTATCATGCAATATAGGGCTCAATGAGCTAATAATGAATTGAAACTAAGCACGCGAGATGTGTAACAGATCACTAACCAATAAACTTCTTGGCCAGCATTGCCTAGCGGTCCTCATTTTGTCCCTAGTTTATACAAGACTCTAATGATTGCTTCATAGTCGGGAATTTGTTCCAATGACAGAGTGTAGTTGTACTTCTCAGGTTCAATGGCAGTTTTAGGTATCTTCAAGACTTGGTTGATGACCCCAGGAGTAAAAGTGACTTTGGTGTTTCGCACCATGGTGTGATAAAGAGATAAGTTGCTAGTAGCATGGAGGATCAAACTTGGCATTGGTATAAAATTCACGAAACAAAGTTTGGAGCCCTTTCCTTGTCAATCCACAGAAGAACTCATAGTTCCTAGTCTAAATAGTGAGGTGTACTGGTTCATATTCACCTTCATTCAGCTTGAAGGCTCTGTCCTTAACAATCCTTCTCAGTTTGATATTAGAATTGTGATGCTACTCATAGAAGGAGTTATGGAATGGACCTGTACTCATTGTCTCATGGCTTCCAGAGTTAGAAAGGTTTACTCTGGGCCTTTTGGTGCGATTAGCTGTTGTCTTTTTTCTCATCTATTATGAAACTAAAAATCATTATTTTGAAAAACAGGAAAATGGTAAGAGGGAGAGTTTACACTGAGAAACAATATGAAATTAATAACACTAGAGAAAAAAGCATCTCAAATAGAGAAATCTTTGATAATGAATTGAAACCAAATACGCAGGATGGGTAATAGGTCACTAACCAATAAGCTTCTTAGGTCAACACTGCTTAAGGGTTGCCATTTTGTCCCTGGTTTACACAAAACTTTGACGATTGCTTCATAGTCCAAAATTTATTCCAATAGTAGCGTGTAGATGTCCTTCTCAGGTTCAATGATAGTACTAGGTATTTTCAAGACTTAGTTGGATAAATAACTATGAGTTCCAATACTGCCCTACTGTAACAAAAGAGATAAATACAATTAAAGAAAAAAAAAATGTTAAGCAATTAACCCAATTCTTAAGTCTTTTAACTCATTCTTCATATTCTCTTTGAGTTAGGGGATAACCAAAATCCAAAATGTCTGAGGCTTGACTCTTTACAACCTTATGCAAAGTCCTCTTGATTTATGACATTACTGCATAGGTAGCTATGAATTAGAACATTACCAAGCCTATGGTAAAGAGTTTAGCTAAAGCAATCAGGAGAGTAAACACAAGTCTATACACTTGAGCATTAGAGTGAAGCATTTGTTCTGGAAAGGGAGTTTAATTCATGTGTATAAAATAATGGTCAAGCTACCTATGAACAGTTGAGTAATTGTTGCAAGAATGGATAAAAGAAGTTGTGTTAAGTTTTTTATTACAGCCATGTGTTTATAAAGAAAAAAAAATTGGTTGAGGACAAACAATAATTTTAAGCTTGGGGTTGTGATGAGTTATTAACTCATAAAAAATTCTGACATTTTTGAATGGTTTTATTGAATAATCAAGTTATTTTGGTGTAATTTAATTGAAAAATTCAATGGAAAGATTTAATTTCCAAAATTGCATTGGATAGATCAATTACTAATGTGTTACAATTATTTTTGAAGGTTTTAGAAGAGTAATTGTCTTTAGATCCAGCGGGCAAATGTTGGAAATCTGTAGAGCCTTTTTGTGGGGACACGCATTTTCGATTGTGACAATATATATAAAAACAGAATTTTCTACTAAAAAAAAAAGACATTGTTTCATCTTTCATTTTTCAAACATAGATTTTTAAGTTTTTTTTATATCTTTTATGTTTGGATGTTTTTTTGTTTTTTTTTCACTATTTCTTCTTTATAAGGTTTTGACGAGAAATTAAGTTATATCCCTTCCTTTTCCTTATCTTTATTGGAATAATAATTTCCTATAGTTTACGTTTCTGTAATTTAAATTCAGTTAAATATGAGTTTCATTTTGTAATTAAGTTCATCTTCTCCTTTTTAATTTCTGCAATATTTTGCTAATTGTATTGGGGTTGAGAAAAAATTAATTTAATTATTAACCCATTAAAATAAATTGAACATGAAATATAACTCACTTGCAACTCTTTTCTAATGCATTTAATGTCATACTCAGCGTTTGTCTGTATTTTAGTATTCAAAGTTGATGAAAAGAACTTTGTAATTGGAAAATTGTAATTAATTTTAAAAATAAATTAAATAACTCATTAAAGATTATCTAAAAATAAGAATCTCTAATAATGTGGTCACTTTAATTTTTAAACTTAATATTTACT